AAAGTGAAGATCTGCGTTTTCTCCGTTTTGGGTGTCTGCGTGTGGACAGACAAAACTGGAGTTTTAAGGTCCGCAACGTCACTTTCCGCGACAAAAAAATGCTGACATCACGTGTGCGACCTGTGTTTACACTAGCCGACAGCATGGATGCCCTCAGAGCTGCGCTCGCTTTATCAATTGTCCAAGCGCTTTTTGCTTGTTTGTTTTTGCAAGCGGAATTACTGCTCCTTGCGGAAGACCACAGACGAAGGACGAGGTTAAGAACGGGGGAAGTACTGCCGCTTACAGGTCTGGCATGTTCTTAACAACGTATTTATCCGGGTACGTGTGGACAGTTTTGTTTTTAAACTAGGTGGTGTGGATGCAAGTTTTTGGAGGGGAGGATATTCATTTTTTTTAAAACGGCTACGTGTGGACTAGGCCTAAGTAGGTTCCTGTTGCTGTTTGTTCAAGAAGCAACTGTTGCATGACCTTTCATCTGCTTGCATTCATTGACAGAGTTTTTATGCTTATTTTCTTTTTTATATCCGGTAAAGCAAATTGATTCTACATGAACAGCTTGTTATTGTGCAGCCATCTTTCTCATACTTTATTTCCATTCCTTTTTTTAGTTGGTGAGAGGACTATACTACTATCCTGATCCGCAAATGTCCCTTTGTACAAAAGGATAAATATTTCACCCAAGTGCAGTTATTGGAGTGACCCCGGCTTTCCACCGGAGCCGTCAGCAGCACGTTACTGCAGCAGCACGTCATAGCTGCTGATAGGAACCGCTGTGGTCAACGGAACTTTTTCCACCGGAGCCGTCAGCAGCGCGAGTCGGCCGCGTCTCAGGAGCAGCATGTCGCGGCCCTTACACGCCGGTTCTATTTTCTACGCGCAACGCCTCTGAAACGGGTCAAGTTCGACATTTTGGGGAAGGAAAGACAGGAAATCGGACGCGGAAACGAAGAAAAGCTCTCGAGATTTTAGGAATAAAGAAACGTACTGCCTTCCGGTTGCTTTACTTTAAAAAAAAAGTTACTGTGCGGCCCCGTGAGAAGTTATCACCTAGCTAGCGGTCTCCTTTGATTTTCAGGTCCGTATTGGCGATTATAAAATGGACAGAACCTAAAACACAAAACTTTTGGAGCCATGTTGTAATTTTCTCCTGCTTGTTGTTGTGTTTACTGACGAAGTCACTCGAGTGACTTCGTGCTCTGTCGGTTTCAGCTGCTCCCCTGCTGCTTCGCGTCTCGTGGGAAGGGCCAAGCAGCAGCTTACGCGAGCAAGACGTGCTGCTGCAGTAATGTGCTGCTGACGACTCCTGTGGAAAGCCGGGGTAAATTATGTTGCAAGATAAAAAAAACAAACAAACAAAGAAACAAACACACACACATTAGCTGTACTATCTTAGTAGAGGTGTGACAATGGTATATGCTGCGATTCTACACATTTCTGTTTTCTTTGGTACCTTTAGGGAGGGATACAGCTTTCTGGTCTGCAAGACAATGATAAATCACAAGTCAGGTAAAGATGAAAGCCTCTGGGCCACACTGCTTCAAAGTATGGCCTTCATGAGTTGCCAGCTTATCTTGAAAGGACTGAACACTCTTCAAAAACCGACTGTTGTGAGCTGGTTTGATTGAGTTTTAGTTGTGCTGCAGCTTCACTTTCTGATGTGTTTTGATCTCAAATCACAATCTCACTCATTATGTCATCCTACAAAAAATCTGTAAAATATCTCAATGGCCCACAACCAATCTGAAGACTAAAAAGCTGTATCAATTTTTGGCCTAACAATATTTTTTTAGCATTCATCAAAATCCCTCCTAAAGTGTCAAGCAACCTGTGTACAAGAGCAAAATGATACCATGTTGTGTGACTGCACACACATCTAATCTCAGTGTTTCTGATGCTCTGAGATGAGCTCAAGATTCCTTTTGCAGCAGTGCCTTGATGTGGCTGCAGTATTCTGACTCAGGCTGCAAATGCTGGGAACAGCGTCATTATGAGTGGAAATAAAAGGTAAAATAATGCCTTTCATAAACCTGCATGTTCATTCTGAAGCATTGGTAAATGGAGAGTCACGAGTGAAATTAAGTTTCTTTTTCTTCTTCAAAACAGATTTTATTTGAATCTGTAGTCTGTGAAGAGGTCGAATGATTAACTCATGCTGGCACAAACATTGCATCAGCTTAGCTTTTACAGTGTTTTTTATCATTTCAATATGTACACATGACGGCAACAATGGTGTGGTTAAAACAGGTAAAATATGATTTTAATATAAATGTTGACAGCAGATATGGAATAACAGACTTGGATTGATTTCTCGCTTGATTGATATAATTTTGATCATGAAATTCAATTTTAATAATCAACATAAGCAAGTAATTTTAAAAATAGATATTAATATATGTAAAAATAGGAAAATGAAGATGGAATTTCAGTACCAGACTCTGTTGTTGTGCGTGCTCCCTCACCAGTATGCTACTGAGACACATACAGGAATTAAGCCGATGTTGACAAAAGTTCTTAAAAATGAAATGAATTGAACTGAAAAAAAAAGCTTTAAAACAATTCTGTTTGTCATTCCAGCTATATTACTTGAAGATGATTATAGGGAAAGAAATAGGGCTGCACGGTATTAGGAAAACCTGCGATATTCGATAACGGTGCTTAATATTGCGATATCGATATTACTCACGATAAATGAACAAATACTAAAGTATGCAGTGTTGATGTCGTCTGGCGTGTGACGTCTGCTCTGGGTTCAAAGCAAACAAAAACTAATGCATGAATTCCATTACAACATAACATTTTTATTGCAAAAATATGCAGCTGCACCTGCTACTGTATTAGCAGCAAAATAACAAACTGCATGCATGCAGTTTCTCAGTGACTTTAAAACATCACCACCACCATAAAACTTTTTCTGATGCTCCAAATACAGAAAAACTTCCCTCACCAGGGTTTTTGAATAAATAAAAAAAATCTGAAAATAAATTTAAATGTTAAATAATAGTTAACATCACTTAAATGCAACAGCAAATTATCTCATTGCTACTGAACATTTTCTCCACGTATGTGGTTATGATATAAGGCTGTTGCTGTAATTGGGAAGTGAACTGTGTTGGGCCAAACTAGGAGAACATTAAGATTTTCTGAGGGAAAGAGAAAAACAATTGTCTACCATTCAGAAGAGGAGCTGGCAAAAAAACTACATGGAAAATATGTGAAAATGTTGGTTTTTAACCCCAAATTGAACAAGTTTACCTAGATCTTAAAAAGCTGCTCAGATGATGAAACTGCAACTATGATTCTGATAACAAGCTAACAAATTGAACTAGCTCCTCTAAGATAAGCAGCTAGCAGAGCTTCTGACTGACAGTTTATGTGCAGCAGCAAATCAACTATCCTGATTAACAAGGTTATAAAAGCTCATAAATGAAAAATCACTTTGATGTGTGGGGGAACTTTTCCAGGCCCTCTTTAGCAGGGTGGGACTTGGAGGAGAGTGCTGTAGCCTTTTAGCTGGAAGCTAACCCGAGCCTGGGGCTAATGTCACCACCCGATGGAACACTAGCGACATGGAGGTAGGTGGGTTGGTTCACCGGCACGTGTCGGAGTCAGCCCGGTTATTATCAGCTGCTTAATGACGCAGAGCGGGTTCACGTTCATGTTTGAAAGCAGCGCTGATTCCAGAAACCTCAGCACAAAGTGAGTTCATTAATCTGAGCCAGCATGACGAACAAGGCAAGCGAGCGGCAGCGGAAAGCGGGGGCGGAGCGGAGATAGAGGAATTTTGGGGTAAGGGTCTACGTAGGGGGTGGGCGTATTACGTGAACGGACCCATCTGATTGGCCGCATATCAGAGGGGCTACATTTGATTGGTCAAATAATACTTCAGCGTAAAAAACAGAGCTGGTTTACAAAAAGGTGATGTATGACATGGATGGAAATGTTTGAACCAAACATTTATCGCCATTTTTGACGTGCTTTGTGATGGGCCTATCGCAAGTCCTGTTATCGCCATGACGATAATTTTTCGATATATTGTGCAGCCCTAGAAAGAAAGAAACTTCACTTCCAATGCGTGTCTTTGAAGATGATTGTGTGCACACACGTTACAGCGCCCCCTCTTCCAACAGGACTTAAACCCAGTTACGTTCTCCATGACCAGTACAACCTTTAGGAATAGGTGGATTGAGAAGAATTTGGAAAATCGTCTTCTGGTCGTGTGTACTAAGTGGTTGTAAAGTGATTTTGTATATATTTCTCCAGATCTCCACACAATAACTCAAATATGATGCAACAGTGGCAAGGTGGAGAAACGAGGGCCCAGGCGCGATTCGATCCCCAGACTCCTGGGTGAGGGTCACGCGCGCTAACCAGTCAGCCAAAGGGACATCCCTATGGCCAAGTAGCCAGGGTGCATGTTCAATCAGGACACTGTGACAGGATGCTCATACTGCCACATCTTCTCCCCTCTTTCCACAAGCACGTCCTCGTGCTCCCGCGCAGGGTGCCACAAATTTTACATCCATGGACCTACTTGACAGTACTACATGGATCCTGCCAACAATGCCAAATCAATGCCATGATCAATCGGGACACTGTGACTGGACGCTCATACTGCCACAAAACCATTGAATAGTAGTAGAGTTATATATTTTCAAACACTGGTAATGTGCTGATAATGTTCATGATTTAAGTTTTAATCTAGCATTTTGTTGAAATGTCTCTGGTTGCTGAAACAGAATAACACAGTGGCTTCAGAACCATGAATTTTTATTACAGGTCTCTACTTTCAGTTTTGGCCACACAAGTCATGTTGTGCACAGTTTAAATGCTCCATTAACAACGGTCTGTGTGTGCATGCATGTGTTTGTGCATGTGTGTCTTTTCTTCTGTGTTGTATTTGTGATGAAGTGGCAGTCTGTCCAGGGTGTAGCTCACCTCTCATTTAATGACAGCTGGAATAGGCTCCAGACCCGAAAGGGACCACGCAGGTTTAGGAAATGAATGAATGGGGTTGCAACAGATTTGACAGCAGTCTCTTCAGTGAGGGCAGCAAGTCGACAGTTAACAAGGACCAGAATGTGAGTAAGACAGGAAGTGTAGAGGTATGCTGTTGCTTATGTAATCACATGCAATGTAAATATAAACATCTGTCTTATTGTTTTTCATGACGATAATAAAAATGTAACGGCAAGACTAAAAATATTTAGCTGAAAAGCATCTATTTGATACAAATGAATAAATCAGACTTCTAACATATTACTGGTCCTATTTTTCAGCACTTAAATTTCCACCCTAAGTTTACTCTTATTAGGCTTTCAAATGGTTTCTGTTTTCACTTTTCCTTTAGCGTCTGTTTTTTGTTTTGCTTTTGTCCCCTGCTAATCTCTACTGCGACATGTTAATGAGACTTCAATGCTGCCTCAGTCTTTGGTGCCTTGCATGTAGCCCCACTTTCCCGAACTCATTGCAGCAGAGGAAGCTTGGGGCCTTTAATGCATTCACAACGGTGTTGTCTAATTGTTTATTCTGTTGTAGTGAGAGCAATATTCTTTGCTGCAATTTACAGGGGCAACACCCGTGGATGGAGGGATACTAACAACGTTACCAAGCTGATCAGGAAGTCTCGCTCTGGGCTGAATTTGTCTGTGGAGCCTTTGGAGTTGCACAAAGGAAATGCTACCTTTTTTTTTCCCTTCATATCATCATAAAAACATAACCCCCCCAGTCCAACCCACACACACACACCACCACCCCCAGCACCAGCACCGCCTCACCCCCTCTAACCTCCTGAGGGGTTACATTATAGTGATGTGTCGGTTGCGAACGAACCGGCTCTAAGAGCCGGCTCTTTGAAGTGAACGACGGGAGCTGGCTCGTCATTGAGAGCCGTCCCCTCCCCCCTCCCCTCTTGCTTTCGTGAAAGCTACAGGCGATTGGTCAACATGTGTAACTGCATGTCCAGACTGTCCACACACAGAGCAGTAGAGGCGGGGAAGAGGGAGGATCAGACTCAGACACACAGCAGAGCACATGTGGGTGGAGGGAGACGAGAGGGAATGAGGAGGAGGAAAAAGGTGAGCGAGAGAGAGGAGAGTGCGACGAAGACAGTGAGAAAAGGAGCGCCAGCAGTCGGAAAGTGGAGATTTCTTAAAGTGCTCAGTTCTTAAATCCATAGAAATGATAAATATTTGATATATTGCATTATTTTACATTAGTAAATAATTTTACAAATAGTTTTACATTATTTTGGTTATAAATGTACTATACGCAACAGAAAATCTGAGGAGCCACTTGGGAGCCGAAAGACCCGGCTCTTGAGCTGAGCCAAAATTCCCATCACTACGACATTAAGACAAATAACATACAAGTCAGCAATGCCAGAGGGTTTTTCTTCTTAAAACTGTCCTTACTGTCATTTAGCAGCATTGGCTTGCTTCAAAACAGGTCTATGTACCCTAAATGCCATTATTTACACATTATTTTAGATCTCATTTAATTAATGTCCTTTCTAATAAAATGTAAATATTGCAACTCACATTTTGTCCAAGTCGAAGCATAGCTTTACTCTGGATTAGTCATTTATTTTTCACACCCAAATCTGAAGACTATTTCTTAGAAACCATCCATTAGGCTTTTCATGAATGATTCATTATTTTTTTATTAATTCAGGAATATTGTGTCAAGTTTTCATGCATCTGTTTTCTCCCCAGTACCTTGAATCAAGGAACAAAAAAATAAATAAAAAATAATCACATAAAAGTAATAATAATTGAATTATGCATTGTCCAGTTGCATCACTGACTAAAATGAAAACCATTCACACACACACACACACATGCACACACACACACACACACACACACACACACACACACACACACACACACACACACACACCTCTCGGATGGTGACAATGGTGGCTGTAGCTGGGATGAATCATCCCAGTCTGTCCCTGATGCTCACCCACTAAGCTTCATAACCAGTTAGCTAGTGGTTAGCATGTTCGTTGTACTCACCACCTTAGCCTATTAACTGATTCAATGATGCCCATTTTAAGAAGCAATCCTTCTGAAGGCCCACCCTGGTGTTTAAACAAGCAGTCTGTGAATTCGATTACTTTCTGGCTGGGTTTATGAAAGTTCCTGATGCTAAAATCCAACCATTTTTGCAGACTAAATTTCTTCAGGAAGATACCACTATGCAGATGGAAGGACTCCCATCTGCTGGCTTATGGTCAATGAGTTACGGCACACATTCATACATTTAGAAAAAAATCAAAGAGCTTGATGGGTAAAGTTTATGTTGTCTCTTTGTCATTGATGTTATAATTTGATAATGTTTTTTTTTTCCGATACCTTTTCAGGATTTTCTCTTTTATTTCTTTTGAAGATTGATCTTTGTGTTTTGATTTGGTGTGGCTTAGAAACCAGTTTTTTTCTTTGTTGCTGTCTTTTTGTGTTTGATCCTGTGTAACAAGGTGGGTGAAGTTGGGTCACAGGGGCTGCAGTCTAAGCAGGGAAGGCCCAGACTTCCCTCTCCCAAGCCACTTGGGCCAGCTTCTCCGGGGAATCTCAAGGCGTTCCCTGGCCAGATGTGAGACACATTCCCTCCAGTGTGTCCTGGGGCTTCCTTTAGGCCTCCTCCTGGTTGGACGAGCCCGGAAAACCTCACCAGGGAGGCATCCAGGATGCATCCTAACTAAATGCCCAAGCCACCTCAACTGGCTCCTCTCGATGTGGAGGAGCAGTAGATCTACTCTGAGCCCCTCCCAATGACCAAGCTTCTCACCCTATCTGTAAGGGACAGCCCAGCCACCCTGGGGCGAAAACTCATTTTGACCGCTTGTATCTGCGGTCACATTCTTTTGGTCACTACCCAAAGCTCATGACCATAGGTGAGGGTAGGAACGTTGATCAATTTGTAAATCAAGAGCTTCCCCTTCTGGCTCAGCTCTCTATTCAGCACAACAGACCGGTACAACGCTCGCATCACTGTAGACGCAGCACCACTCTGGCTATGGACCTCACGCTCCATCTTTTCCTCACTCGTGAACAAGACCTCAAGACACTTAAACTCCTCCGCTTGGGGCAGGACCTCATCCCTGACAATTTTTAATGTTATTTTATGTTTGGAAGCCTTCTCATTAAACCCACTGTATAAAACATAGAAGCATTTGTGCTTGACCATACTCAAATTGTAATAAAACAATTCAAATATAATTGATTCACAAAATTTAGAAGTAGATTAAGTGAACACATTTCTAAGCTAAAAGGGTAACACCCCCCCCCCCCCCCCCCAACAGTCATTGTCTGACCAAAAAAGAAGCCTGAGTAAACGTAGCATTGCGAGCAGTATCATCAGCATCTATTGTTGGACATGCTATATGCTGCTGATGTGTTTCATTGTTCACAGCTCACTATTATTCTTCTATACTTCATTCAAATCAATAGCAAGCCTGATTGCTCTGATGACATCTTATTAGCCTGGTTGGAAATGCATCAGATTATGCAGCGTCATGCTGTCTGCAGCATACTGCATTGATTCTGTCATACTGACAAGTTAAAGAAATTATATAATATCATATGGTCTGTGAATGTTTGTGAACATTTTTATGTTTTAATGTAGTTGTAGTAAAATACAGTATTTTACACTCTTCAGCTCTTGGGTGTAACGGTCTTATTGCCTTAGATGTATTAAATATGTATTGTTTTTCTTTGCATGGTTGTCAAAGTGTTATTAGAATAAACACTTGTGTTGGCATCACTACATGGGCTCCTGGTACATTCAAGGTGCTAACATTTGCCTATAAGCCTTACAAGGAACTGCTCCATCTTGCTTGGCGGCTTTACTGTATCGGTATACTCCATCTCGAGCATGCCGTTTGGCTGATGGGGATCTATTGATGGTTCAGATCATGTGGGAATCAGGTGTTCTCTGTGATGGCTCCAAAACTTTGGAATGAGTTGACTCTGATGTGTGTTAATCGCCATCACTGCTGGATTTTAAGTCACGTTTGTAAACACACTTTTATTTCATGGCTTTTAAACAGTCGCTGTAGTAGTGTTATTGTCTAGCCCTTTCTTACCAATTTATTGTCTGCAATTTTTTATTTATTTATTTTTTTGCTGCTCTGATGCCAATTTTAATTGATTTCTTTAATTGCTCTTGCATGTTGTTGCTGTAGTGTCCCGCACCTTGGGCGTCCATCTGGGTCATGGAAGACGCTTTGCAAATAAAGTGCAATGAAATGGAAAAACACAACAGTGTTGGCTACACTGTACACACACAAAGCAGTCCGTTTCTACTTTGAGTTTGCTTTCCCAAGCAAATGAGTTTAAAACACACTCAATTAGCAAATATCATCTTTTCACCTATTTAACAGTTGTAATGGGCAAACGAAGAATGTAAAAATCCAAAATGTTATTTAATTCTATTCATACAGTGGTTTAAATTCTGTTAAAGGTGTGGTTCACATATTTAATCCCTACATCTGCAGTGATAAAAATGAATGCCTTGTAAGTCATAAAAAAGTCTTGGTACACCAGTTTCAGGAACTAGATGTGAGCCACATAAGAGAATCACTTCAGACAACAGGACTTGAAGTCTTATTTGCCGATATTTGGACATCTCTCCTCTGACTGGCTAACATCAACAAAACTCTACCACTGACTCTGTTTGCTCTGCAACAGTGATGTTTAATCTCCACAATTAAGACAAGTCTGAAGGAGTTCTGCTGTGTGGTGAAGTTGCTAATGCTAACAGTTAGCTTCTGCTAGTCATTACATTGTTTTTACTGTTGTTTCCTGGATGTTAAACCAGCAACAGCCTTCCCTGTCATGAGTCAAGATGGGGGAGTCCATGAATGTTAAGTGACAGTGTGACGTAGATCTGTCAGGCTTTTCAAATCCTAGAGTTTGACCATCTATTTTCTAGCAGAAGCTAATGCAGGAGATACGCTAAGAAGGCTATTTTCATGTTCAGCCTGCATGAAAAACTCAGAGTGTCCAATTAGAATCAGAAATAAAATATAAAAAAAAAAGGTTATTCAGTGAAACACACCTTTAATGGCCCAGTGCTTCTAATCTGGAGCGGAACATGCAGGATAGGGACCTCATAGACTAGGATTAGATCAAAGTTCTTGAGCATGAAAAAATTATAAATGTGTTGGTTGAAAAATATTTATTGATGTAAAAAGTTAAACCCTCAACTGCCACCAAAATGTAATCAAATCACACTTGGAGTCACCTAGCTGCTAACCCACCTTTAGGCTCTGGCAGCAAAATATTAGTTCAAAGATCTGATAGGCAGTTCAAGGCCTTGCCACGAGCCTGACTCAGAACATGTCTAAATAAATCTCACCTTGGACTTTTATGACAAAGAAACTGCCGGAGCTACTATATCACACCACTGATATGAGATCCTTTGACTTAGAGGGCATCATTACTTTTAGATATTAGTTATTCTCTGTGCAGTCATTCTTTCCTTCTGTTTTGGTTAAAAACAGATATTTGCTTTGCATGCATGCACCCAAATTTAAATTACGTTAATCACCAACTGTTCCTGGGTGCATTAAACAAATAAATTATACATCGAAGTGTAAATGATTCAATCTGTGCATTTTTTCTCTTAGTTGAGGAATTCATAAAGTCCTTTCTCTATGACACTGAATGGCATGGCACACCATGAATGACACCATGAATGACCCTGCTCATTTTCTTTTAGTAGACTAAATGAGCTTTTAATGAATAGACAGAACATTTTAGTCAATGAGCTTATACCTTGTTCATCTGTTACCTTTTAAGCTTCTGAATCAAAATTAGCTGCACTCTCCATTCAATTTTTACTGCCTTTATAGTTTACTTTTGCTTTTCTTTTGCTAGAAGGACCCAACGCATGCCAGATTGAAGCAAACAGTCTGCGACTTTTGAATCAACATTGCTTTGTTTGTTCAAACTGTTAGTTGTTTATTGTCTCCCATTGTTTTAAGCAATTTTAAACCTCTAGAGAGTGAGAATTTGCTCCACAGTTGAATCAACCACACAAATAAAATTTATCTGAAGGATAAAGCTTGAGATTACATTTGTTGTTTTTTGTTATTAAAGATGGAAATCATGAAAATTATGATTGTGCCTTTTTTCCTGCAGGCAAGACAAACAAAGTCAGAAGAAAAAAACTGAACAAATATACAAGCGTGCATTTCAGGCTGGATTTTAGTTTGTGTTTTACAGTTTAAGTACGAATGATTTTGCTTTTGAAGGTGTTGCACAGTGCATTTGCAATTTTATATTTTACAATTTGCACCTGTAGAATTCATTTTTCTTAATAATTATTTGCCCAAACATAATAATAAAACCATTATTTAACAAGCGCAGTACTCACTCTGAGTAAGTGTGCATAATCCTGTGTAAAATACCTTATTTTATCAAATATAATTATACTCTGCTTTTTGAAGTTATATTCTGGTGTTAAAATGACTGGTTTCCTTTGTGGAGGAGCTAGTCATAAAAGCCTTGTGGGATATTAGCAGAAGCTGATTCTGGCTCTTAAAGTAGGTCATGAAGATCATGTTTGAAATGACTGACTCACACATTATTCAATTCAATTGAATACAATTCAGTTCAATACAATTCAATTCAATAATACTTTATTAATCCCAGAGGGAAATTACTCATGGTAACTAAATATCACAAACACAGCAGAAGAGAAACAGAAGAGATCCGACACTCATTTGAAGTGCGCAGACATTTGCTTTTGTCAAGTGATAATGGTGTAACCCACCAGTGGTTTGAGCCACCTTTTTGGCTTATGTGAGACATAAGGGGCTTTAATGTGATTACCGTAATTTCCGGACTATAGAGCGCACCTCAATATAAGCCGCACCGGGCTAAAACTGCAGATATCTACTGAATTGAAAACGTAGTTTGACTGAGCTTAACTGAACTGATCAGTATCAAACAAAACAGAAAAGTTATTAATTAGTTTATTCATCGTCCTCCTGCACACTGAAACCACTGAAGTCATCTTCTTCAGTGTCGGAGTTGAACAGCCTCAGAAGAGCTTCGTCACATACCTTTTCTGTGGCGATGTCAGTGTCGCTCTCCGTGTTGCTGTCATCATCCCGGGGTGAAGCTGGGAAAGCAAGCAGCGCTGTTTTACTGTGAAAAAAAAATCCTCCTGGGCGCTTTCCGTAGCACTCCTTTAACTATTCCTTCATTAGACTTTCCAGCATCCATCCTTTCTGGTTGACTAAAGCCGCACTTCATTATAACTTGCATGGTTCAAAGCGTGGGAATAAAGTAGTGGCTTATAGTCTGAAAAATACGGTATACAACCTCAAAAGGCAAAATCAGATGAAAACTAAATCATCAGTATTCTTGACTCACAGGGCAAACAAGTTTCTAAAACAACAAGTGTAGCTCTTTCTGTTACTTGTTTAGCAGATCTGAAAGAGCTCAGCTAAACTGTGGTATTTGGAGCTCCTAAATTAGTCATGAGCAATGTTTTCTAAATGTAAGAAAATGTAGAAACGTTAAAAAAAACATTACAATACTCAAATTTTGTACGTATTAGGGCTGGGGTAAACAATTATTTTTAAAACGATTATTCTGACGATTCTTTTATCGAATAGTCGACTATTCTAATGACTATTTAGATGATTAATCTAACGATTTTTTTTTCTATTAATAAAAATCAGAAAATCTCCAATTAATTAAAAAAAAAAGATAAATTGGTATTGTCTACACTTTGCTACAGCTCTAGTACAGATGCCTGTGATAAAGCTGGAAACCAGTCAAAGAAAAAGAACATGCCATCTTAAAGAACTGAAATCTTCCCTATAGTGGCCTGGAGCAGTTAGACATTTTAAGTAGGGATGCAATGATACCATTTTTTTCCCAAACCGATAGATACTCATACTTGGATCGGAGTACTTGCCGATTATCGATATCGATACTTCTACCACACAAAAAAAAAATGCAATGAATTGGAATGTAGGTTTTATTTTCTTCTCTGCTTCCAAAAGGAAAAGACTGTGAGGTAGATAAAAAATAAAATATATGAATAGAAATGATTATAAAACTAAAATATTGGGTGAACAGAAATGGCAAGTTACAGTGAAGCCACTTCCAGGCAACTGCATTGGTATCAGTTCATGGTATCGGTTAACTTTTACCAGTATTGGTGCAACCCTAGTTTTAAGTTTTGTCCTTCCATGTATACAAATGGGACATTTCCTGACAAACACAGGAGTGTTTTTCTTCCCAAATGTTGACTGTTTGATTCACTTATGTTTCCTGCATCTTTAAATATTGTTTCTAATATGTTTTGTATTTGTATTTTTTAGAATATTTTATTAAATGTGATAGTGTATAATCAGTAAATACAACATTTTTATTTCACTTTGCAACAATGCAAATTGTTCAAGGAGCTGTGTCCATTTTTGTTTATGTTGATTTATGTTTTATTTACATGGCTGCTTTCCGCATTTATACAGACTGTGCACATACACTTTTTCATGCCATTTTTATGTCAGCTGCACCAGTGCTCTACTCGAGGTTTTAAAGTTTTTAAAACTGCTTAATGGGTGGCAATCTTGTTGGGTTTGGCAACTGTCTTTTCATAAGACAAAAATAAAACATGTTGTAAAATTTTCCAGTGTCCAGGTTTTGTGTCCTTATGGTCTCTGAGTGATACATGATACATATAGAAATTACAGTCTATCTGCTCGTGGAGTTTTGACTGTAAACACGTGTTATATGTTGATTTTCTCCTTTTGCACATATTTCAGTGGCGGACAGTACTTCAGCAATGGTTTACCAACTAAATTCACCACTATGATGTTGCAATGAAAAGCCAAAAATATGCAAAAATGTAATATGATATTATGGAGGTCCTATTCAGACCACATGAATCCAGATTTGCTTCATCATTTTATAGCAAGATGTTTTGGAGTGCACAGAGAGAGCGAGGGGGTGAGGGAGGAATTGGCAGGGTGCTGTGAAGAAACCCAGTTATTGCAACGACAAACTTCTACACTACAGCTAACCTGGAAATCTAGACAGAGTAGCTGAAGGCAGAATGGTTTTGCTCTGCTTGTTGGTCTAGCCACGCTCTATAGGAGCCTCAGCAGCTCTACCATTGGCTTGAACAGTACTGTGTTATGTCAATCGCGGAGCTATATTGGTTTAGTGGATCAATCACACCACTCATTTTGGTGGGTGGGATGTTACTGTGACTGAAACGTTTGAAACGGCTTTGGCATCAAATTTTGACTACCGTATTTTACGGACTATAAGCCGCTACTTTTTTCCCACGGTTTGAACCATGCGGCGTATAATGAGGTGCGGCTTTACTGAAGATTTTCTTTCACCTGCCAGGGGACGCTTTAGTGAAACAGGTGGAAGTCGAAGCTCTTCTGAGGCTGTTCAACTCCGACACTGAAGAAGATGACTTTAATGGCTTTAGTGTGCAAGAGGAAGATGAGGGCGAATGACTTCTTCTGGTAGGCAAGTGTGTTTTATTTACTAACCAGGCATGTTTTGTGCGCAGTTTTTATTTTCTAATCATCCAGGGCTTATTAATGCTGTGTCAGCACTGTCATTTTCTTCTAAATGTGCATGCAAATTACCAGTAATAACATGTCATTTCTGTTTTTATTTTATAACCATCCAGAAATATGAATGCTATCAGTGCTCACCCATGTTAAAATTCGTTTTGTTGAATTAAAACAACAACGAAAAACCTCCGTGTAGCGTCTTTCTGTGTAATTATCTTATGTTATGGCCATACATGCGCTGTGCGCCGGAGACCTGCATGTGCCTTCTGCGCTGCAGCTTGTATTCGTGTGCGGCGTGTGTGTGTGGAAAACCTTTTTTTGTTGGTGCAGCTTATATTGAGGTGCGCTCTATAGTCCGGAAATTGCTGTATTTAGACTTTTCTTTTAGTCAAGAGCAGACAGTGTGTGACGACCCTCGTCCCCTCGGTCCGTCCTCTCATCCTAGCCTGAGCCTTTTGTCCCCGCTGCACGGGATCCAGCACCAGGGACAGCGCCAGGAGCGGCCAGCTCACACGCTCCAGCGCCCTTTCAGGACCTCGGAGAGAGGCACGCCAGCAGAGACAGCAGCTGATCTTCATAAATGATCAAGCAGCTCCCAGCTCTTTAAAAGGAGGAACGCAGCAGACATCGAGGAGATCCTGGATTAGCCGGAGATTCTCCTTTAGCTCACGGACACTTTAGCGACCATTACCAGTCGGGTTTAAGGCTGTTTACACCGTTCCTGCTGGGTTTAAGGTTGTTGATAGAGATCCAGGAGTAGCCTGAGATTCTCCCTCGCTCTTTTGTGTTTAGGTTTTCTACTAAGGATCCAGGATTAGCCTGGGTACCTTCTGAGTGTGTTTTCACACGCCTTGTTAAGGGTTAAACCTTCGTGGTGTTTTTCTTGTTATCCCCATAGGACTTTTGAGCCGGGGATATTTTGCGTTTTGGCAGAAAGCCTTTTTCATAAGCAGTGAGACTGCTTATGTTGTAGTTTATTATTACTAAGCCTTATTTATGCCGTTTACCCACGGACACCTTATGTTAATAAATCCTGTTGTTTTTACTCGAACCTCCTCGTCCTTTATCCTCACACACACTTTTACACCTATTTTCTTGTGTTAGTCCCCTCATCCTCCTAGACCTGCAGAGAGGGGGCGTAACATAATGGGGGCTCGTCCGGGATTTATTTGAGTTATAAATAATTGGAACTTAATCTAAGTCTGCCCGGTAACAAATAAATAGGTTGTGCGCCGCGTTTTTATTTTTTTTATTGTGCTTGAGTGTGTGTTAAGTACCCTGGGACTCTTTCATTTTGGTGGTTTCACTCTCTGTATTTTAGCTCTTCCCAGGTGAGCTCTATAATAAGTATGTTTTCTTTAAAGGAGTTTCTGCGTGCACCGTCGCGGGAAGCTCTCGAGGCCTGCCGCAAGAGCGATCTGGTGGAGGTGGCTGAGCACCTTGATCTCCATGGCACCCGCACAATGGCGAAACAGGTTCTAAAAGAGACAGTTATCGCTGCCTTGGAAAACCTGAACTTGTTGCCTGCAAAAGGGACTGGAGATCTTCCTGTCCTTTACCCGCGTGCGGATGACGCTGCAAGCCATGAGAACGGAGCAGGACCATCTTCGGCGGCACCCGAGGAGACGGCTCCCGGCTACCAGACCCCGCCGGCTCACAGTAAGACTCCTTCTTCACCACTAACTTTGCCCAAGTCTGATCCTGTCTCACCAGCTTCTACTCCGAGTTCGCTGGAGCGTTTTAACCTACGTCTGAAAGTCCGAATGGCTCGGCTAAAGTATGAGGCCGAGGAAAAGGAGAAGCGCCGTCGGATGGAGATGGAGCTGGAGATCCGCAGAATGGATCTGGAAGCCAACACTCAGATCAAGCTAAAAAGACTTGAGCTGGAAGCCCAGGCTTGGAGACAAGCCGAGATTTCCCAACAAAATGACCCACATGTTGACACGCACAAGGATGTGACAGAACCCGACACCACAAGAGAAGAAACTACCCCTGGAATAAAACAGAGACTAGACATAAGTAAATGCATTGTGTTGGTGCCACCTTTTCGGGAGTTTGAGGTGGACAGCTACTTCCAGATATTTGAGCGCATTGCTGCAGCTCTTGAGTGGCCTCGTGACGTGTGGGCGTTGATCCTCCAGTGCAAGCTCACCGGAAAAGCCCAGGAGGTAATGTCTTCTTTGTCCCTTTCTGACAGTTTAGATTACGAATGTGTGAAAAGTGCAGTGTTAACTGCTCATGAACTGGTCCCAGAAGCATACCGACAAAGATTCCGAGCATCAACAAATAAAAAGCCACATCAGACGTTTGTCGAGTTCGCCAGAGAAAAGCTGTTATTATTTGAAAAGTGGGTTGCAGCATCAAAAGTGTCTTATTTTACTGAGCTGAAGGAATTAATCCTGTTAGAGGAGTTCAAGAGATGTTTACCGGAGCGCACCGTTTTATACTTGAATGAACAAAAGGTAGCGACTTTGTCTTCTGCAGCTTTGTTGGCGGATGAATATTCATTAACGCACCGCGTAAGCGGCGAACTGCCACCCAGAGATGCCAGGCGGCCTCCTATGATGAGGCCTGCTCACACCGGTTCGGTAAACGCCCACCAGCCAAGATGTTTTTACTGTCATCGGTCTGGGCATGTAGTAAAAGACTGTTACGAATTAAAAATGAAAAACAAACAGAAAACCTCCCCCTCACGTGAGGTTGGTTTTATAACGAAAAACAAACAGGTCGTGACAGAAATAAACGACTGTTTTCAACCATTTTTGTCCAAAGGTGTGGTTCAGCTAAATGAGTCAAGTTCTGACCAAGCTCCAGTTATCATCCTACGCGATACTGGGGCATCACAAACGCTCATAACTAGCGATGTCATGATTTTTAATGAGAGCAGTGCAACGGGCGTGTCAGTTCTGCTAAACGGAATAAATGGTGAGCCGATTTCTCGGCCGTTACACCGAGTCTTTCTTTCTTGCGAGCTAGCCAGAGGTTATTTTGATGTGGCTGTTTGCCCATCTTTGCCGATCGCTGGAGTAAATCTCCTGCTCGGAAACGATGCTGCTGGAGGAAATGTGGTCCCTCCATTCCAAGTTTTAAACGACCCGTGCTCAGACACCAGTTCGTGCGTTAAGGAGCAGCCAGGAATTTATCCTGCATGTGTCATAACCCGTGCCCAGGCACGTAAACAGGAGGAAACCTTACAGTTATCCTCTCTCTTTGATGATGGACACAATAAAGAGGACAATCACGTCCACGACCACAATGCGGACATTACCGCCGACACCGAGGATGAAGGCGTGTCGCTCACGTCGGGGTGTCTGCCTTTACCCCGGCTGACTTTAGGAGAGGAGCAACGTCGTGATGACAGCTTGAAGAAATGTTTTCTGGATATTAAGAATCCTGATGGGGAAAAGTCCGGTTATTTCCTACGGAAAGACGTGCTAATGAGATTTTGGAACAATCCTGCCGCCCAAGGAGCACCTTGGGGTACTGTTAATCAGATTGTAATTCCCACAAGGTACCGAAATAAAGTTGTGAGTTTAGCTCATGAAAGTCAGTGGGCAGGACACTTAGGCATCCGGAAAACGTACCAGATAATTTTGGAGCATTTCTTTTGGCCTGGCATGAAGAGGGACGTAGCTGAATATTGTAAGCGTTGCCATGTCTGTCAAATTTCTGGAAAACCAAATCAGCTGCCTGCTCCAGCACCTCTCTATCCGATTCCTGTAATCGGGAATCCTTTTGACACCATTGTGGTGGATTGTGTAGGTCCATTGCCCAGAAGTAAATCTGGTAAGAAATATCTGTTAACCATAATGTGCACATTCACCCGTTTTCCAGAAGCTTTTCCGTTATCCACCATAACAGCTAAAACTGTCACCCAGGCTTTAACCCAGTATTTCTCATTGTTTGGTTTACCCCGTGTTCTACAAACCGATCAGGGAACCAACTTTAAGTCAGAGCTGTTTAGGAAGGTGGCCCAAACACTGGGTATCCACCACGTGGTGTCTTCTGCTTATCACCCAGAAAGCCAAGGCGCTTTAGAACGCTGGCACCAAACTTTTAAAAGCATGCTGAAAAAGTACTGTTTAAGTTCAGGAAATCAGTGGGATGAAGGTGTTCCCTTTCTGTTATTTGCCGCCCGAGAGGCTCCCCAGGATTCTTTGGGGTTTAGCCTGGCTCAATTAGTGTTCGGACACACACCTCGGGGCCCCCTTAAAGCTCTCAAGGAACAGTTTCTGAGAGTCCCGGAGTCTAAAAAGGAAAAGATCAATCAATACCTCAAGAAATTTCTGTGGCGTATAAAACATGCAAATAAACTGGCTAGGGAGAACTTGGCGATAACTCAAAAGAAGATGAAAAGGCAGTTTGATCGAAAAGCTGTAGCCAGGGAGCTCCACCCCGGTGATCAGGTTTTAATATTGAATCCTTTGGTTGGCACTAGCTTATCAGCTAAATTCGATGGACCATTTGAAGTGCTGAGAAAAATAAACAGTACTACCTATAGTATTTCCACTCCTCATCGTCGCCGTAAGTCCAGGGCTTGTCATATTAACATGCTTAAGCTGTACCATTCCCCTGAGGCTTCACCATCAGAGGTTTCTGAAGCTGGGGTGTGCGCAGCCGCATCCTCCACTCCTATTCCCGAGGAGGACATCCACCTAAAGCTAAAACCTGTTATTAGCCCCCGACTCGCTAACTCTTTAACTTTGGCCCAGCTACCAGATATCCTGGACCACTTGAATGACGACATGAAACACGAACTGATGAGTCTGATACAAGAGTACTCTTGCCTCTTTTCAGATGTACCTTCTCGAACCACTGCGGTTAGTCACGACGTCGTTGTGGAAACATCTCAACCCATAAAACAACACCCATACCGAGCTAATACGGTAAAACATGAATTGTTAGAGCAGGAAATGCGTTATTTGTTGGAACATGGCTTGGCCGTGCCCAGTTGCAGTCCGTGGAGCTTGCCCTGTTTAATTGAGAAGAAGCCGGATGGCTCTTCCCGCTTCATAACTGATTATCGAAAGGTAAACTCTGTTACAGTGCCAGATGCATATCCCTTGCCCAGAGTAGATGACTGTATTGACAGAATAGGAGATGCATCCTTTATAACGAAAATAGATCTACTCAAAGGTTACTGGCAGGTGCCTTTAACAACTGCTGCCTCCGAAATCTCTGCCTTTGTAACTCCGGACGCATTTCTGCAATACACAGTTATGCCATTTGGAATGCGAAATGCCCCGGCAACCTTTCAAAGAATGATGAGCTCAATAACTTCTGGTTTATCGAACTGCACTGTATATCTTGATGATATCGTTGTCCACACCTCCACTTGGGAAGCCCACATTTAGGGTCTGCGGGCCCTTTTTGTGCGTTTAGCTGATGCTCGACTCACCATTAACCTGGCTAAAAGTGAGTTCGTTAAAGCCACGGTCCAGTTTCTGGGAAAAGAGGTTGGCCATGGGAAAGTAAAAATGTTAGCAGACAAAATACAGGCCATCACAGAGTTCCCCAAGCCGAAAACGCGTAGGGAAGTGAGACGCTTCATTGGAATGGCTGGCTACTACCGCTGTTTTTGTAAGAATTTCGCCAGTGTAGTTTCCCCATTAACCAATCTTTTGAGTCCAAAGGTTCCGTTTACCTGGGATGAAAGTGCGCAAAAGGCGTTTGACTCCTGCAAGGTTTTACTTTGTAGTAACCCTGTTTTAAAAGCCCCTGACTTGACCAGACCATTTAAACTCGAGACTGATGCAAGCCATGTAGGGGTTGGGGCCGTGTTACTACAAGAAGACGATGCAGGGATTGACCACCCAGTTGCCTACTACTCACGGAAATTTGCCACATACCAATTAAACTACTCCACAGTGGAAAAAGAAACCTTGGCTCTATTGCTGGCTTTGCAGCATTTTGAAGTGTATGTTGGCTCCAGCAACGGGCCCCTAATTGTTTTTACAGACCATAACCCTCTGGTTTTCCTTTCCAGAATGTTTAACAAGAACCAGAGATTAATGAGATGGGCCCTCCTGCTCCAAGACCACAACTTAGACATCCGGCACAAGAAGGGAGCTGACAATGTGGTTGTGGATTGCCTGTCTCGTGGTTTTGTAGAATAGTGCCTTTCTTTTATTCTATGGATATTACAGATAAACTTAAACGAAGCGGTGAGTTCCCAGGTAGGTTTTAGAGGTATACCCCCTTTGGGGTATGTCCTGTTTGTTTTTTTATTAGTGTTGTGTGTCGCGGCTAGTGTTGGTGTCCTTTTGGGCACCATCTCGGGAGCACCCCAGGAGGAAAAGGGGCCGGCTTGGCCACCCCTCTTCCTTGCTGGTTAGTATGTTTTCTTAGGAAAACATGTGCTTAATCTGCCCGCCTGCAAGCACATGAAGCCTAGACCTCAGTTTTTTAGAGAAGAAATGTTAGGCAGTCAGTGGGGACTCATCCGTTTTTGTCAACCTGAAATGAATCCTAGATTTGTTTTCCAGAGGCATTGTTTTTTTTCCTCTGAGTTGGTCTTTAAGAAAGACAATCCTTTTTAATGACTGTCTTTCTTAGCTGTTTAGGGGGAGGCTGTGACGACCCTCGTCCCCTCGGTCCGTCCTCTCATCCTAGCCTGAGCCTTTTGTCCCCGCTGCACGGGATCCAGCACCAGGGACAGCGCCAGGAGCGGCCAGCTCACACGCTCCAGCGCCCTTTCAGGACCTCGGAGAGAGGCACGCCAGCAGAGACAGCAGCTGATCTTCATAAGTGATCAAGCAGCTCCCAGCTCTTTAAAAGGAGGAACGCAGCAGACATCGAGGAGATCCTGGATTAGCCGGAGATTCTCCTTTAGCTCACGGACACTTTAGCGACCGTTACCAGTCGGGTTTAAGGCTGTTTACACCGTTCCTGCTGGGTTTAAGGTTGTTGATAGAGATCCAGGAGTAGCCTGAGATTCTCCCTCGCTCTTTTGTGTTTAGGTTTTCTACTAAGGATCCAGGATTAGCCTGGGTACCTTCTGAGTGTGTTTTCACACACCTTGTTAAGGGTTAAACCTTCGTGGTGTTTTTCTTGTTATCCCCATAGGACTTTTGAGCCGGGGATATTTTGCGTTTTGGCAGAAAGCCTTTTTCATAAGCAGTGAGACTGCTTATGTTGTAGTTTATTATTACTAAGCCTTATTTATGCCGTTTACCCACGGACACCTTATGTTAATAAATCCTGTTGTTTTTACTCGAACCTCCTCGTCCTTTATCCTCACACACACTTTTACACCTATTTTCTTGTGTTAGTCCCCTCATCCTCCTAGACCTGCAGAGAGGGGGCGTAACACAGAGGTACTTAAGTCCTTTATCTAGAAAAATGATGTATTTGTGTCTTCTTTGACAGTGCATGGGAGACTGCCTGTGTTGAAGAATTGCCTCAGAGATTCACAGAAGAAAGTCCTCAAAAATTTCTCTACCCTAAAGTGGGCCATGGGGAAGCACACACTTTACACTAAAACCAATAAACAAGCCGCCACATTGCTAAACTTGTCTGAACTAATGAATATGGGGTTAACCAAGTGAAAAAGGGAATAAAAGGTTTTACTAAGTTACTAAGGCAGTTATCCCGGACGAGCCCCCATTTATGTTACACCTCCAGACGGCTTATGTAGGAGCATGAAGGAGGATGTAACATAAAGACAAGCATGACATGGTGAATACAGCAAATAGTTTATTTGAAGGTCATACATGAAAAACAGGAAGTTTACCAAACAGGCTTTCTCTGAGATGTTTTTATCTAAACACAAGAACAGCTAAACACTCAAACACCGCCGGAAACCTCTATGATTGAAATTAAAAGTAAACTCTTTTGGGAGATTACCTGAGGTATTAGCTATAGGCTAAAAGGGATGCAACCAGCTTCACTGGCTGCCAGTCAACTTCAGAGTTCAACACCCTGGTTCTGGCTCTTCTAGGTTTTCTTCAGCTCCACTCTCTTTTGGTTTAATATTTAAAGTTACTTTTTTCGTAACGTACGTGGTGCATTTGACAAGACAGAGCTGAAAACGGCTCGTGCTGAGTCGGTCACTGCCACCGCTCTGCTCAGTTTTTTTTACCCCCCCCCCCCCCCCACCACCACCACCACCACCAACACACACACACACAATGAGTGATACAGAGGGTACATCAGCTGAGACTGAATCTAATTATTTATAATTTAAATAATCAAATAAAAAAAGTTGTGTCTGGTTCTAGTATTTAATATTTCCTAGTTCCTACAGCATGAGTTCAGATGTATTAACTCATTTGCTGCCAGTGTTTCTCACAGATTTTACTGTTTTTTTAAGAGTCTTTGAACGTTGCGCTAGGATGATGTCGATGCCATAACAACCAAAACAAAGTGGAGACTCACCTCTTACAACAGGAAGAATCCGTGCTTTGCAACCGGAAGCATCCTACCATCCTACATTCTGACAAAGAACAAGCTAAAGCCCAAGAAACACCTGTCAGCAGTGCCCTTGTGTCTCATAAGGCTGACGTTTGTACTGATGGAGGAGAGGACTGTACTCTTTCAATTGTTCCTGTCAAAATAAAATCTAAGAAAGGAGATCAAGTGTTTCAAACTTATGCCTTCTTGGATCCTGGAAGCACAGCAACTTTCATTACCAACAAATTAAAGAAGAAATTAAACGTGCGAGGCCCAAAGATTAACATCTTGCTGTGTACTATGGGCCAAGAAAGGTTGGTGAGCTGCTGTTGTGGCACTGGACTGGAAATTTCGGGGCTACAAAGTAACAGCTTTGTAGAACTTCCTGAAGTTTACACACAAGAAGCCATTCCAGTCTCTCGGAACAACATTCCTCTTCAGAGAGATGTTGAGAAATGGGACTATCTCAGCACCATCAGGATTTCGGAACTGGATGCTGATGTCGAGCTTTTGATTGGAATGAATGCATCAGACCTCATGGAGCCATGGGAGATAATCAACAGTCAAGGCAACGGACCACATGCTGTCAGAACCCCACTTGGATGGGTCATTAATGGTACCCTGTGAAGCAGTGTAACTACCGAGAAAGGTTGTACAACTGTTTACGCAAACAGGATTTCTGTTGCCAAACTGGAGGAGCTGTTGATATCTCAATACAATCAAGACTTTGATGAAAAAAAAATGGAAGAAAAACATGAAATGTCGATCGAGGACAAGAACTTTATGGAAATAATGGAAAAATCAGCTTGCATATTGGATGGACATTATTGTTTGGACTTGCCCTTCAAAAAGGACGACATTATCATGCCCAACAACCGGTATGTTATGGCACAATGCCTTCAGGCCCTCAAAAGAAAGTTTGAGAGGAACAAAGTCTACAAAAAGGAATATACAGCATTCATGATGGATCTTATTGACAGAGGCTATGCAGAAAAGGTACCTCTTGACCAGATGGAACCCAAAGAAGGAAAAGTCTGGTATCTTCCACACCACAGTGTCTATCACCCAAGGAAAAAGACTTTGAGAGTGGTTTTTGACTGTGGAGCAAGCTACAAAGGCTCTTCATTGAAGGGCCAGCTTCTACAGGGGCCGGACCTTACCAACTCTCTCGTCTGTGTTCTAACCAGATTCAGGCAAGAAAACATTGCTCTGATGACAGATGTCCAGGCCATGTTCCATCAAGTAAAAGTGTCAGAAAAGCATCTGGACTTTCTGCGCTTTCTGTGGTGGCCATTAGGAGACATGTCTGTCACCCCAATGGAATACCGGATGACAGTTCACCTCTTCGGAGCTGTATCATCGCCAAGTTGCGCCTATTATGCTCTGAGGCAAACTGCTACGGACAACATTTAATGTTATCATAAAGAAGTGACTGACACTGTCTATAATAACTTTTATGTGGATGATTGTCTAAAATCTGTTGCCATGGAAGAAACTGCAGTAAAGCTGGCAGAAGATCTTACTGAATTATGTTCTAAAGGAGGATTTGAGCTTTCAAAGTGGACAAGCACAAGTCGCGCTGTGCTATTGTCCATTCCTGATCAGAAACCTTCCAATTCAACAAGACAACTACATCTGGAACGGGATAGTCTGCCTGTAGAAAAGGCTCTTGGCCTAAGCTGGTGTGCAGAGAGTGACACTTTTATCTTTCAACTATGGAAGAAAGACCTCACACCAGACGTGGCATTCTCTCAATGGTCAGTTCCATCTATGATCCACTGGGTTTCCTGGCACCATTCACTTTGTTACCAAAGTTATTGCTGCAGGAGATGTGCAGGAGAAAAATGTCTTGGGATGAGCCTGTCTCCCAGACAATGTCACAGCAATGGACTTCATGGCTTCAAGATCTGCAAAAAATAACAGAGTTAAAAGTGAGTCGCTGTATTAAACCAAAAAACTTTGAAGAACCACTACAAGCTCAACTGCATCATTTTGCGGATGCCAGTGAACATGGTTATGATACAGTGTCTCACCTACGACTGCAGGATGAGAAAGGAAATGTGCATCTGGCCTTTAAGCTGGGCAAGGCAACAATTCCCTGCCTTGAACTTTCCGCTGCTGTGCTTGCTGTGAAAGTTGACAGAATGTTAAGAAAGGAACCGTTACTTGACTTAACATACTCATGCTTCTGAACGGACAGCTAGACGCTGCTGAAATACATACACAATGAGAACAAACAATTTTACACCTTTGTTGCAAATAGGGTGGCTGCAATAAGGGAAGCTACTGATGTATGGCAGTGGACATACGTTGCTTCTAAGCTTAACCCAGCCGATGAAGCATCTAGAGGACTTACCGCACATAACTTCATGGCCTGTCAAAGGTGGATAACAGGTCCAGCCTTTCTTCAGAAGCCAGAAAAGGACTGGCCAGAGGTTTTTAACCTAAAGCCTGTTTCTTTAGAGGATCCAGAAGTCAAAGGTGAAGTTATAGTGAATGTTTTCAGCTTACAGGCCGATGATCCTACTTCAAGGTTCATTCATTATTTTTTAAGTTGGAGAAAGCTGAAAACTTCAGTTGCTTGGTTTCTCAAGCTAAAGGCCATCTTGCTGGATCTTAGTCCAAAAAGGAAAGAATTTGAGGCTTCACTCCCTGCTGTTGATGTATCAACTTTCACTAAGAAAGTGCAAGAAAACATGAACAGAGCCAGAGAAGCTGTTCGCAAACAAACATTGTCAGTGAACGATCTCTTCAAAGCTGAAAATGCAATCATCTGGTACTGTCAATCAAAAGGATTCAAAGAAGAAATCAGCACCTTGGAGAGCGGTGCTTCTGTTGTGAAGACCAGGAGCGACATCTACAAACTAGATCCAATACTCAAGAATGGTTTACTGAGAGTGGGTGGAAGACTTCGCCGCTCAGCTATACCCCAGGAGCAGAAACATCCTGCTATTCTCACCAAAGACCAACATGTTTCCAAGCTTATTTTGCAGCTTATACACCAGCAGCTTGGGCATGCAGGAAGAAAACACATCCTATCAGCTATTAGAAAATGATACTGGATTACTAGTGCCAACTCAGCTTGCAGGAAGATCATCTCTGAATGTGTTATTTGTAAACGACAAAGAGCACAGCCATTTTGGCAAAAAATGCCAGAAGAATGCATCAGTCCAGATTTGCCACCATTCACTAACGTAGGTGTGTATTATTTTGGACCCATAGAGGTGAAAAGAGGACGTGCCATGGTCAAAAGATATGGAGTAATGTTTACCTGCATGGCAAGCCAGGCTATACATCTGGAGGTGGCACACTCACTAACGACTGATTCTTGCATCAATGCAATAAGATGTTTTATATATCAAAGAGGTCGAGTTCGCCAAATGAGATGAGACAATGGCACAAATTTTATTGGTGCAGAACTAGGGCTGGGCGATATGACAATTTTTGACCGTTTTACGATCTACACATCTGATGGTCTGTCATTTTTGAGAGACCTTTTTATCACGATTCACAGCTCTGCTGTTGAAATTCTGCCTCTGAATGAAAAGGGAACTTACCTCAGGCGAATGACACACCTTTGTTTGACCCTTAACCAATCAGAGTGAGTCATAGTAATATATTAGTGCCCCGCTTGTTTTCACCTGTGTGTGAACAAACATGGCTGCGGCTGAGAGCGACAATGAGGTTTTCGTTCCGAAGAGGAACGCCTCGTCCATTATATGGAACTGGTTTGGTTTTTCACCAGATGACAAAGAGCAGCAAAACGTCATTTGCAAGGAGAGCGTCGAGGCAAGTGATGCAACACCACAAACTTGTTTAATCACTTG